AGAGATGAGTAGTGAAAACTTAATGCTAATAAGCTACTGTACTAGTCTCCTGGGAGAGATGAGTAAGGCCAACAAGAATGAACAATATTGATGGCAGCTAAGAACATAGAATGGAGAAGAAAAACCCATGTGTCATTGGTAGCACCAAGGTCTACCGTACCGAAGCGTACCAACCGAACCGAGCGGTATGTACCGGTCCGACAGGTTATTGGTACGCGATCCGCCCGGTACCGCTATAGTGCTACAGTCTTATACTGTAGCACTGCTACAGTATGAAAAAAATAAAAAATTATTCGGTACACCAGGGCGTACCGCTCGGTACGCCCTGATGTACCGCCCGGTACACCGGTATCATACCGTACCAAGCCGGGTTGAAACGCCGGTACGGTACGGTACAGCGAACCTTGGGTAGCACACTTAGGCCGCTAGTTCGCTGGTGCCAAGTTGCTCACCAATGCACATGTATTAGCTCTTAGCTTATAGCAAGCCTCAAGAATTCCAATTCAAGCACCAATCAAATCCTCAAGGCCTGAAAGTGGTAATTTATAGTTGAATAGTGCTTATTTGTCATATTGGTTTGCATTGTCGGTAATCAGCATATATGCTTAAGTTTATTGTGTAAAGTAATTTGGTGCAACACCTTTTGTTTTCTCAAACTATAGATTATGGCTTAACAAACCCTTTGATTTCCATATAGTTATTATCTGATCTTTTTCACCCTTTTGACATACAATATGTATATTTGAGTAATGCTTGAGATTTTTTTCTAAACCTTTTCTAAAGAAACTGCTAATAAGAGTTGAATTTGATGTTTTGCAGGAGCTTGCTTCATTGTGGGAAAAAATGAGATGTTACAACGTTGGCAAACAAGCGAGATCCGAGTAAGTGCTCAACTGTTTTATTGCTCTCCATTATCTCTCTGTTATTTACTGGGACAGTATTTCTTTAGGCTTGTAAGTGAAGCCTTATGTAAGATGAATGGGAAGTTTGTGGAGATTGCAGGCTCTCATGTTGCGGCACGTGTTCTTCAAGTGAGTTTAAGTTCATACTTCTGACATTTTTCTTGTGAACAACTGACTTCTAAATTTTATGTGTTCTCAATGTTAGATTTTGGAAGACTAAACCTCAGGAGTTTTAGATGTTTAAAATTTTATACGACAAAGCATGTGATGGATAGTATGCTTTTTCATTCTATTATTAACTTATTTAGTTCTTTTATGGTGTTTTACTATTTACCAGACGTGTGTCAAATATTGTACACAAGAAGAAAGAGATGCTGTTTTTGAGGCTCTTCGGCCTCATCTTCTTCCTCTTTCACAGAAAAAGTATGCAGTTCATTTAGTAAAGAAACTTTTAGATCATGGTATGTCATATAACTTGTTAACTGGATATGTTTTATGGTAAAGCTTGATTTGAATTATGTGGATCTTTTCCGTTGTTGAATGAGATTTCTTTTGTCTGTTCCTCAGCTAGCAAAAAACAACTAGAATGGTTCATATCCTCTCTACATGGGCATGTGACTTCTCTTCTGCGACATTCAGTTGGATCTGCAGGTTTGTAGGGTATCTAAAATTTAAGCATTCTAGTATATATTGTTATTTGATCATAATTTTGATTATGGAAAATGGACCTGCGGGCTATTCACAATCCAAATTTAATTATACTGCAACTGCATGAGGTGTAATTCAGAGGAATTCTTCTCGAGGTATCTTGCCATAATTTTATTAATTTGAAGTTTATACTTGTGTCTAGTTTAACTACTGATGCCCAAATTTTAGCCTTTGTGATTGCTCTAATTTTATTTTGTCAAAAACAACTCTTCTCCTTTGCCCTCCTTCTGTAGACCCTCTTGTATATCTAGGAATGCTAAGGTTTAAAGACTTAAGACTTGCCAATCCAATGAGTTGAGGTTGCTTAGATTTATAATGAGACTTGATAAAAGCTTTTATGAGTTAGTGTATAGTTTATCATTATTATATGGTCTTGTTATGGACCTTGCCCATTATATTTGAGCTTAACTTGTCTACTTATCGCCATGATTTTCTGCTGTGGTTAACTCGATGTTTTCTTTGGAAAGGCTATTGATGTACATAATTCAGGTTCGGTTTAATTCAACAAGTCCTTTATATAGGAATACATATAACACATGCCATTTTAAACGTAAATTAAGCTAAATTCTCCTTTATAGGTAGATGCAAATTATATGATCATTTGACTGAATTGTTTAGGTTTACAACAATGGCCCCCACCTGCCACCAACACTGGCCCCCCTATGAAATAAAAAATTGCTTGTTCTGTACCTTTTTATTTACTTTGTTCCATCCAAAAAAACCCTCAACAAATGAACAGTCATTTTGAGTGTTACACATCTTTTGATGAGGTTATTGTGCACTTCTTTTTATCGCCAATATGCGTTGGCTTATTTTTTATAAAAGGATTTTTAGAGCTTTTGTATAACTGCTTATATTTTCAATATCTTTTTAACAAATTTTCTTTGTATCTTGTTTCTCCGTGTAGTCATTGACTATGTATTCCATTTGGCCAATGGGTCCCAAAAGCAAATCCTTTTGATGGAGATGTACTCTACAGAGCTTCAATTATTTAAGGACCTGACCTTAACAAATTCAGGCAGGTAATTGGAACATAAGAGATTCTTTGGACTGCACTTGTCTTTGTATTTTCAGGTTATGAATGCATATTCTTTCCTCTTTTGCAATATGGAAATCATCTTTGGTCATACGAATTCTGAATCGTCCTCAATGAGGATGATATATTATGGCTAACGGATATGGACAAGAAAACTGTATGATTGTTTTTTTGCTTGGTTGTATTTTAATATTGCTTTCTTTATTTTTCTTATTCTCCAATGTGGTTCTAACAAAACAGATGAGCATGTTGACTCATTGTTAGGAGATTATACCCGGGGAATTTGTATGAATCGTAATATATTTAGGGCTTATTTTATCTGAAACTTATAGACACCAACTTAATTAGTGGGAATCAATATAAGGGCAATAAGGGAGAAATGGGAGTATAGTGTCCTAGGGATAGGCATGGAAACTTTTTTGCTTTTTTTTGTTAAATGTTGAACAAACGATATATGCATTATTGATTTTCAGTAGCTAGATACTCTTAAATAAATACTCAATAAAACTAAAGAATAGAGCTACTAGCTAAGGAATTAGGAAAAACTACCTGACTTCTCTCGGATTCGGTGTTGAACCACGTGCATAATTACCAAATTAAATCAGAATTCCTTGGACATTTAAACATGGTACAACTTGCATTAGCAATCCAACACGACATGGATAAATCTATATCAAACCTTTGAAAAATAGGAGTTGATATTACAATAAAAATATTGTAATATATAATGTTGCACATGACAAAGGTTAATATTTGTTTATGTTGTTAGAATAGGCGATGCATGATGACAACTATTATCCATAAACAAAATTATGTTTAATGGCATTGTATTTCAAGCATATAGCGAGGGTAAGAACTTCTAAATGGAGCAATATGATTCTACTAGTTTCATATTTCAATAATTTGATGGTTAATACAGAAGGCATGTAAATAGTCTATCGAATCATATATCCATCTCTATGATAGTTAACGAACAAAATACTACCATGAAATATCCTATGAGGCTAAAAGTATCCAATCTTTTCAATAATTATCTGTAAGTTTGGATACGTGGTGGAAGTATGTGACTCATTTTCAACAAGTATTACCTGACATATTTATGAAAGCATTTAAGTGATGTGTTTGGTAGCTGCAGACTAAGTCATTAGATCTAGGTGCTGATGTGACCTGGAAAAGGATAGGATAAAGAAGGAATGCTTCCAAAGAGGTTAACCAAATTACCTAACAAAAATCTGATCATCTAATCAAAATATAATACTTTGAGCCTTTTCAGGGCTTCTAAAACAAATTCCAATGGTGAAACATATCATGCAACCTTAAACACCCTACGGCGATATTTTTTATGCTTTTATATAATATAGCGATTATGTTATTTATGTTAGCTGACATGGTGTTATAACACAACAACGTTTTTTGTTACCATCGACTTTTTATGTTATTTTCTTCTGATGTGCCCCATTTCATATCAGGCTGGTGGATATAATTTCTAAACTTGGACTACAAAAATCATCTGTGTTGCAACACATTATGTCTGTGATTCAGCCACTTTTGGAAAAAGGGATTGTTGATCATTCCATTATACACAAGGCCCTCATGGAGTTTTTCACAATTGCTGATAAGGTGATCTTGGTCATGTTTACCTACTGCATCAATATGTTGTATAATTTTAAGCTTTTTAAAACTTACAGTTTGTGTCTATTTTTTCCATTTGAAGTCCTCTGCTGCAGATGTGATTCAACAATTATTACCTCTTCTTGTGCGAGAGTCAGCTTCTGCAGAGGAGAGTCCTCATTTCTCAGCTCCAGAGATGCAGAAAAAGAGGAAAATTAAAAACAAAAATGTGAAAGAACCACTTCTTGCTCGGATGATTCGCACAAGAGATGGTCTAAAGATCTGTATCCTCTGTGTCAAGCATGCAAGCGCAAAGGTGTGTAATAATGTTTGTGTGTTCAATTTTGTCTTCCCTTCAGCCAGTTAGTTGAAGTGCTTATTTACTATATACAATGCGATTTATGGTGCATGGCCTAATTGATCTCCGGTAATTCTCATGATAACTTGTTGCATCTGTTGCTTTTATTTCTCAGAGTCATGCATACTACTTGCCTTCTAATCACTAATTGAAGTGGCTTTTATCAATATGCTGTCATTCTTGATCAGGCATGGAAATCTATGATTTGGTCTTCTAGATTACACAGCATATAATACCACAGGAATCAGCTTAGTTTCTTAAACTTTATGCTTTAAACTTGAGTATTTCTTTTGTTTGGAATGTTATAACTTGATTCAATTTCACAGGAAAGAAAAAAGGTTATTAAAGGCATAAAGGGTCATGTCAGAAAGCTTTCACTTGATCAACTTGGGAGTCTTGTAAGCACCTTTTTCTCAGCCCTCAACATACATAACCTTCTGTATGAACTGTCTAAATTCAGTTAACCGACCAAATCCACTTTTGACAATATGATGTTGCTCTCTAGCATTGCTTTTGTCCATCATATTTCTATTTTCCCTTGTTAACATTATTTTGATCAGACTTGCAATTTTTTTGGCTTTAAATATGTATTCTACAATTCTTCTGTTATCATAATATGTGCCAATGGCATGTCTTTTCATGTTAGCAGCGGTTTCCAGTATGATCTGCAGTCAATTTGTACATATTTGATCTGGAAACTTGTGACCTTTTTAGTTTTACAGTGATAGCATGCCTTATCAAATATCAAGAATACTCCACTGCCTTCTGTTAAAAATATTGAATAGTGGAGGAATTTGATCAGAAAGCTTCTTGTGACCTACCATATTGTGCTGTAATTCACTAATTTTCTGTACTCTTTTAGGGACCATTCGGAAACTCAGGGCTCTTTATATTTGCTTGTTTGAAAACTTTTGGTGTTATTCATGGATTACATTGTTACATAAGATTTAGTGGACTGGAAACTAATAACTTGAGTCTATCCAAGTTACTAGGCAATTAATCTATTTAGTTAGGTTATGACAATTGGTATGGAGTGAATTATGACATATAGGAAATTGCTGTCATGAATGGTGCAAAGGGCTTGCCATTGATGCTCTGTTTGTCTAAAAACCTTTTATATATGTTGGACATTGACGAGGAATTATATTTGAGAGCGACATATTATGAAACACTAATGGCTCCACATTGGGAGTTATTGATGGATTAAATCGGTATATAAAATTTGAGGTGTCCTAAGGCTTTATCTGTGATTTTTGAACAGTATATGAATGCAATTATATGGCATAATAACTTTGTACTAATTTGGCAATATTTTATTCCAGTTGCTAGTTTGTGTCCTTTCGGTAGTTGATGATACGAAGCTTGTAACAAAGGTCAGCGATTGCTCGTTTGATATTTGATGTTAAAATTTTGATTTTGACCTTCTGAAATTTGTTGAAAAATTTTTATATCATTTGTCAGATTGTAATACGAGAACTGCAAACAATGCTGAAGGATCTGGTATTGGATAAGGTAGTTACTTTGTTCTGATCAATAGCTGACATTTTTTGAAGTGTTTCTTGATCCGATTCTTGCAACTAAGAGAAAAGAGATCTCATGAATTACCAGAATGGAAGACGTACAGTACTGCAGCTACTTCATCCACAATGTTCACGCTATTTTGCATCTGAGGATTTGGCTTGTCTAAGTTTATCTGTTCCTTCCCTTTCTGCACAGGCAAACATTATTTCCATCATTATGTAATTCAAGCTAGTAGCAGATGTGCATCATCTGAATCCGTTCACTTCCATCTCAGGTGGAAGAGACAGAGGACCCCATGGAAGTTGGCTTGGAGCAATGCCAAAATGGGGAGTCTCCCATGACAGATAATGAGAACAGTGAAGTTGGTAGGAAGAGTTTGCAGTTAGATACCGGAGGCAAGAAGGATTCATTTCGCAGGAGATGTGAATTGATGGTTGAGAGTGGGCTTGCTGAGGTAACACTTAATATTCTGCTTCAGACATGCAATATTCTGGACCATTTTTAGCTTACAATGTTAAATGGTCAAGTGTCAAAACACACATTTTCTTTTTCTTTCTTCTTGTACCATAATATTAGACACAGTTTCAGACAGCAAAATATGAAGTTGGAGGTGGGGATACAGGAGAGTTCTGTCAAGCTTTGGGTCACATTCAATATTCTGGTTGGATTTGGTTTGATTCACCTATTCTTTTTTTTTTGACTTTCTGAACTCTTACTGCTGGTAGCAGGTTCCATTCTTTTCTTGATGTGTGACTTTTACTACCGTGCCTTTAATTGACATTCCAGAACTCCTTGTTCAGTTCTTTGCAAAATTGCTATCATCATGCTAGTGTATTTCCTCCCTCTCTCTCTCTCTCTCA